TACTACTACTACTACTACTACTACTACTACTACTACTACTACTACTACTACTACTCTGCTGCCATCTAGTGGCTGAAAATGGTATTGTTCAATATTTTCAGTCAGAATGAATGAAAACAAGTCTTCCCGTGCATGTTCTCGCGGTCGCCATTTGGCAGCCATTCAATTTTTGGCACAACACTAACCCATATTTCCGGGTGGTCAGTAATGACGCATAACAAACGCGACGACCAGGGCTTTTCAACTGGCAGCCAGCCCGCAGGTCACTTTCCGGCCCGTGGGTGACTTCAGTCCAGCCTACCAATAAGGTTTTTTTATTTTTATTTTTATTTTTTTTGGGGGGGGGGGGGGTGTTCTGGGTTTAGTTTGGCTTCTGTTTACGGTAGTCCCATTCCCAGCCACTACCACCCACCCGCCACCCCCACCCCACAATAAGTGAATCAGAATCAGCTTTATTGTCATTGCACCGAAGCACAACAAAAGTACATTTCAGTACAGCCCATCCAAGAGAAACGTAACACACATGGTGAGACGGAGGTGACTGAGGCCACCAGCCTCGAGGGGCGCAGCCCTTTTTCAGATAAGAAAAAAGAAACATGAGGGGGAGTGTAGGTTTAAAAAAAATCAAATCTCACACAGTGTCCTAGACAGGACGCATTGACTGGTACAAAATGATGACCTCAGCACATGAAACGGCAACATACTGATGACATCATACTAAATTTATGCATGAGGAGGCCGACGAAGGCAATGAGTTGTCCGTGGACACTGCCAGAAAGTTCCATAGTCCTGATAAAGATGCCACAGTGTCTATCAGCCAGCTTAACTCTGACACAGATCCACAGATGTCCTCGGGAGGGGAACGATAGGGGAGGGGTGGAGCAGAGCTTCTCGTAGACATAAACAACCAGGAGATGTTTGAGATAACTGGCCAATTCAAGGCTGAGTGGGGAAGCCAAATTCAGATAACACAGTTGTTTTGGGTCAGGCAGACTCTGCTTAAATTTCCATGTCTGCCTTCAAAGTTCTGCTGGTATGTCTCACTGGTGATTCCAAACAGCCAAATTTTGCAGTCACACTGCTGGACTGAGCTTGTAGCCTTCTCCAAGGTTGATTCCTTCTCAACAGTGAGTCCCAGGAGCCGCAAGTGGCCTGTGATCTTCAGAAATTGTATCCAGCTTATGGCTCAGCTCATATAGCGTCTGAGTCTGAGAGCTTACCGCTCGGTACATTCCTTCATACAAGACAGGCAGCCTCACAATTGCCAGAACCGCTGCCGCTGTGTTCCGAATTTGTCGATATGCCAGATACCCGTCATTTCCAAAGGGCATAAATCTGGTTATCATAAATTCAATTATGTATGTGTGTTCTACATCCTCAGTTTACAATACGGTCAGACACACCATCTTACACTGTCCCCAGGAATCCATAGTGTATCCAGCTGAGAGTGTCCCTTCAGGGCGTGAGGGCTCTCCTCTGCCCTGTCTTCTCGTCGGGAAAAATTTATCAATTGCGTTAAGAGACCAGTTGGCCAGATGCATAATTTACAATTTGGATGATATGTAGTGAGGGGCTCCGAAAGGAATCACAAGACAACGAGCCAAACGGAGGGAGGGCAGGAGCAGGAGGGAAAAACATCTGTCCTCGTGGAGAACAAGGAAGAAAATTGAAAAACTGTGAACGGTGGCGCAACTGGTAGAGCTGCTGCCTCTCAGCGCGCAGGTCCCTGGCCCAAATCCCGGTCTGGGGGCCTTTCTAGGTGGAGTTTGCATGTTCTCTCCATGCATGCGTGGGTTTTCTCCAGGTACTCCGGTTTCTTCCCACAGACCAAAAACATGCATATTAGGCTGATTTGTAACTCTAAATTGTCCCTTGGTGTGAGTGAGAGACTGAATGGTTGTTTGTCTCATTTGTCTCTATGTGGCCCTGTGATGGACTTGTGACCTGTCCAGGGTGTACCCCGCCTCTCGCACAGTGATTGCTGGACATGGGCACCAGCGACCCCCGTGACCCAAAATGGAAGAAGTGGGTAAAAGATGGATATATATATATATATATATACAAACCGGATTCCAAAAAAGTTGGGACACTAAACAAATTGTGAATAAAAACTGAATGCAATGATGTGGAGGTGCCAACATCTAATATTTTATTCAGAATAGAACACAAATCACAGATGAAAAGCTTAAACTGAGAGAATGTATCATTTTAAGGGAAAAATCTGTTGTTTCCAAATTTCATGGCATCAACAAATCCCAAAAAAGTTGGGACAAGTCCTTTTTTACCACAGTGTGGCATCCCCCTTCTTCTTACAACACTCAGCAGATGTCTGGGGACAGAGGAGACCAGTTTCTCAAGTTTAGAAATAGGAATGCTCTCCCATTCATGTCTAATACAGGCCTCTAACTGTTCAATCGTCTTGGGCCTTCTTTGTTGCACCTTCCTCTTTATGATGCGCCAAATGTTCTCTATAGGTGAAAGATCTGGACTGCAGGCTGGCCATTTCAGTACCCGGATCCTTCTCCTACGTAGCCATGATGTTGTGATTGTTGCAGAATGTGGTCTGGCATTATCGTGTTGAAAAATGCATGGTCTTCCGTGAAAGAGATGATGTCTAGATGGGAGCATATGTTGTTCTAGAACCTGAACATAGTTCTCTGCATTAATGGTGCCTTTCCAGACATGCAAGCTGCCCATGCCACAAGCGCTCATGCAACCCCATACCATCAGTGATGCAGGTTTCTGAACGGAGCGTTGATAACAACTTGGGCTATCCTTGTCCTCTCTGGTCCGGATGACATGGCGTCCCAGTGTTCCATAAAGAACTTCAAATCGTGACTCATCTGACCACAGAACAGTCTTCCATTTTGCCACACTCCATTTTAAATTACCCCTGGCCCAGTGCAAACGTCTGAGCTTGTGGAGCTTGCTTAGAAATGGCTTCCTCTTTGCACTGTAGAGTTTCAGCTGGCAACGGCGCATGGCACGGTGGATTGTGTTCACTGACAATGCTTTCTGGAAGTATTCCTGAGCCCATTCTGTTATTTCCTTGACATTAAACCAAATAGTGGTAGTGTTTGACCTGGTGCGTATAAATCTACATTATACTCAAACTTGTACACCTAATTCTATTTTTTTTAACCATTTAAGTTCATGGATGTATAATCATAGCACCTTGGAAGGAACAGTTGAAATTGGTAATTAAAGATCACCTTTTTTATGTTTTTCCATAAGTATACCATCTGTGTCAAACTGTTAAAAAGGATAAGTCAATAAATATTAGCCCTGGTCTGGTAATTATTCATGCTGTGTCACATTACTGTGGATTTCAACAATGTCTTCATTCAAAATGTGCAGACTAGATGACGTACGTCTGCAGGACAGGATAAAGTAAAGATCACTCGCCCACAGCTGTGCCGGTGTGACCAGGGAAGCTGATATGCATTGAAGAAACTTTAGACTTTTTTAAGATATTGTCCTTTTTTTCCTGTTTATAAAGGATTCTTGATGCCTGGACCTTTTAACCACAGTGATGTGGTTGCTGGTTTTGCCACTTTGAAGTGGGTTAGTTTAATGGGCAGGTCTTTTACCTCTGCTCCACTACAAAAACATGTCCTGTGAGGTCATGAGCTAAACATCTGGCTGACAAAATGACAAAATCAGACTTTAACACTCACAGAGTCTGTGTTGCCTTACACAATGAGTCCCATGAGAGGAAAACCAAGATGAGGACTGGGAAGTAGAGAGTGCAAATGAGACAAACAGAACAAGTTCTTGACAAATATGTAATGCTCTCACTTATGTTTATTTATTTGACTAAATTAATGAATCAGTTAGAGGTCTGAGGTTGGAAAGCAAAACAATCTTGGACTCTACTTATTCCCTGGAAAGGAAGTGTCCAGTGGTGTACACTCGAGTATTTAGATAATGGGATTGCACAGGATGTTGGTCAATCTCCTGAATGTCCTGATGAGTTTGGCCTATGTTTTGCCTGATGGTTCAAAAGTAACACATCCATCTTTACACCGCTTCTTCCTGTTCAGGTCGCTGGGGTCACTGGTGCCCGTGTCCAGCTATCACTGTGCGAGAGGCAGAGGACACCCTGGACAGGTTGCAAGTCTTTCACTGGGAAAGTAACGCATAATAACTAAAGTATGAAGGATGGTGCAGCACGGTGGTGCAACTGGTAGAGCTGCTGCCTCTCAGCGAGCAGGTCCCCGGTTCAAATCCCGGTCCAGGGGCCTTTCTGGGTAGAGTTTGCATGTTCTCTCCGTTCATGCGTGGGTTTTCTCCAGGTACTCCAGTTTCCTCCCACAGACCAAAAACATGCATGTTAGACTGATTGGTAACTCTAAATTGTCCCTAGGTGTGAGAGAGTGAATGGTTGTTTGTCTCTATGTGGCCGCCCCTCGCACAGTGATTGCTGGTCATGGGCACCGGCGACCCCCGTGACCTAAAATGGAAGAAGCGGGTAAAAGATATTGGATGGATGGATGAAGGACGGGGTTTTTCATGAGGAAACAGATGAAATCTGTTGTTTCATCTACATATTGAGTTCTCTGTTCTCATTTTATCTAGCATTCTCTTGTATTCTGGCAATTATCTTCAATATTTGGACCTGAAGTGTGTATATTTGTGACTACAAGGCTTTTTCTTTAGTTAGTCACGTGAAAATATTCTGCTCAGTCATATTTTAGTAAACAAAAGCATTGTACTACACTGTATGCAATTTATGCTCCTTTTCATGCTTTTCAGTTTTGAAAATAAACAATATAAATTATAAATCAAAGCGTGCAGTGAGAGTGGGAAAAGTTTGGCATGACTTTTCGTGGTAGTACAGAGTAAAATGTAGATCAAAGTGACAACAAACTGAAAGGTTTTCCCGTATACAACCATTAGATTTTGACCAAATTAGTTTAAAACCCAGCCCTCTTTGACTTTATAGGTGAAGTATTTGTCCAATGGATGCCTTTTGTGTAATTCTACATATTTTGTGTCTTGTCAAGCCTTTTTTATAGTAGTTTTTTTAATAAATTGAGGTATCTTGTGTATTTTGTTCAGCTCTTTCATTCCTTATCTTTGTTTCAGAGACATATCCCAAACAGGGATCACATCCCTACCTTCTACAGGCATGGCCTTTTTGAGAGAACTGAAGGCACGGGATACCTGGGCTCTTAAAAAACTTCCAGCCATCAAGACCTTCAAGCAACTCACCACCGCCAACCTCACCTACCCCAGCCACTGCTGTGGCTTCAAGAACCTAAAAAAGAAACGAGGGTGCGCTTTCTATCCTTTTTATTATTATTATTATAGATTGTAAGAGTTTGAAACGTTAGGGAAGTGGTTCTTAGAGTTTTGTTGTATTGGGATGACCCAGTAGAGTGAGCAGGGGTAGCTGCACTTGTGCTGTGTAGATTTTGGCAAGGATTGAATCAACTCTTTGACGTATTACCTTTATGTTCTTACAGCACTACCATAATTAGCGTCACTCACTCCACTTATTGCAGGAAAAGGTTGAGTCAGACTAATAATGACTCCACAAACATGACTGTTGTCTCTTCACCTCTGTACACAGATGATCTAATTTGTATTTACTGCTAATGGGGATTGCAGCCAGGTATGTGTTTCTTACAGTCATGGAAAAATGAAGTGGCACCTTCTTTCTATTTTAAGGCTTTTTAAAATATCCATTAAAGAAAAATTAAACCAAAACTAAAGAAATTGCATTTCCTATGAAAATGCAGTCTGAATGCTTATTGCAGAAGGCCTTGCTGAAAAACTGCTGAAATTAGCTAAAAGCATACTAAAGCATATAAAAGTATACATGAAATGGATGAACAAGCCTAAGTTGGCAGATGAAAGCAGAAGGAACACATATTTGCTGAATTAGGTTTAAATAAGCATAAATGAGTACAAAAAATGGGAAAATTAGCTCAAAAAGCTGAAATTAGCAATGAATTGCTGAAAGTAGCCGAAAAGGCAGAAAGAAGCTTAAACTACCAGTAGGAAACGGAAGGAGCTGAAATGAGCTCAGGAAATGTGGAATTAGCTGGAAAAGCTAAAGTTAGGATAAAACGACTAAATACTAGCTGAAATAGCAGAAAAAGCTTAAACTTGAAGAAAAAGAGCTGAGACAAGCATAACAAGCTGAAATTAAGTTAATTTGGATGAAAGGAACATAAATTACCAGGAAAAACTTAAATTTATCTGAAAACAGCTGAAATTATCTAAAAAATGCTAAAACCTAGCTGAAAAGGTAGAACCTGCTTAAATTAGCAGAAGAAAGCAGAAAGAACACATCTTTGCCCAATTAGGCTCAAAGAAACTGAAATGAGCCAAAAAAGTGGAAATTATCTGAAAAAAGCAGAAATTAGCAAAAAACAGCTGAAAAGTAGCTAAAATTTCAGAAAGAAGCTTAAATTATCAGAAGGAAGTTGAGATCACATTTTTTGATGAATTAGGCTGAAAATAAGCTTAAATGAGTGCAAAAAATGTGAAATAAGCTGAAAAAACAAATTAACATAAAACAGCTAAATAGTAGCTGAAATAACTGAAACTAGCAGAAATAAGCTGAAAGGAGTGAAACAAGCTGAAATTAGCATAAATAAGTTAATTAGGCTGAAAGTAGCAGAAATTACAAAAAAACTTTAATTTATCTGAAAAAAGCTGAAATTAGCTGAAAAAAATAGCTGAAAAAATAAAACAAGCTTACATAAGCAGAAGAAAGCAGATAGAACATATTTGGCCAATTAGGCTGAAAGAAGCAGAAATTAGCACAAAAAAGTGGAAATTATCTGAAAAAAGCTTAAATTTGTTAATAAACCTGCTGAAAAAATAGCTATAAAAACAGAAATAAGCTTAAATTAACAGAAGGAGGCCAAGAGATCACATTTTTCCTGATTTGGGCTGAAAAAAGTTGAAATGAGTGCAAAAAATGTGGAATTGCCAGACAAAGATAAAATTAGCATAAAACACCTAAATAGTAGCTGAAATAGCAGAAAAAGTTGAAACTTGCATAAATAAGCTGAAATTATTTCAATTCAATTCAGTTAATTTATAGAGTGCCAAGTCACAACAGAAGTTGTCGCAGGGCACTGAACAGAAATTAGCAGCAAGACGTTAGAAGAAGCACAAAAATGTTGTAGTTGGAAAGAATCTATAAAGATCACAAAACAGCTGAAAATACAGTTGAAATTGCTGAAATTAGCTGAAAAAAAAAAAAAAAACAGTTTAAATTTGCACAAGGAAGCTGAAAGAAGCTGAACCAGAACAAAATGTGAACGGAGCAGTAAAAGTTTGTAAACAGATCTAAAGATTTGAAGGATGGAAAATGAGCTCAGTTCATTTCCTATGAGTAAAAAGTGGCAGGAAAGGCTACATATTTTATTCATCCATTTTCTTCACCCACTTCTTCCATTTTGGGTCGTGGGGGTCACTGGTGCCCATGTCCAGCTATCACTGTGCAAGAGGTGGGGGACACCCTGGACAGGTCTCCAGTCCATCACAGGGACACATAAACGAGACAAACAACCATTCACTCTCACCTAGGGACAATTTAGAGTTACCAATCAGCCTAACATGCATGTTTTTGGTCTGTGGGAGGAAACCAAAGTATCCAGATTAAACCCACGCATGCACAGAGAGAACATGCAAATTCCATCCAGAAAGTCCCCTAGACCGAAATTTGAACCGGGGCAACCTGCTCGTTAAGAGGCAGCAGCTTTACCACCTGCAGTACCATGTTGCCAGGCTAAATATTTCAAAAAGCTAAAATTGCACCAATACCAAAAGTCATTGCACCCTTTCCCTGAATGAGCTGAAAGTTTTGATATATGATTTGTTGAAATGTCACAAAAATTGTGGAACGAGAAAGATGCCGAAAAACGTACGTAAGAAAAATGGATCACAATAGAGTGAATGCTCCAAAAGCACTCACACAATGAGTTCAAAATCTTGTGGAACCAGTTTTAACAGCGATGACTCTCAGTGGGGGTTATCCATCAATCAGTCTCTAAAGAAGTTTTGCACATAATTCTTTGCAATGTTGCTTTAAATCAATAAAGTTTGAAAACATTAAGTTTGAGCAACTCTCAAAGTTGTAATGAAGCATTTTAATCAGGCAGCAGTCTGAACTTTGACTGGACCATTGCAACACCTTGATCTCATTGATTCTTTTATTATTCAGTCATTTTGGTTTAGATTTGCTGCTGTGTTCAGGATCATTGTCCTGCAGCATGATCCAGTTTCTGACAAGTTTTAATGTTTGTCCAGTATACCTAAAATGTGACCCTAGAAGTGTACAAGAGTTTATGGTTGACTCTGTTGCTGCAACCTGCCCAAGTCTTTGGCTACAAATAAGCCCGAATCATCACCCCCTCCACCACTGTTTTTGACACTTGGTAAGAGGTGTTTGTGCTGATAAGCTGTTTGGCTTCACCAAACTGATGCTGTCCATTAGTGCCACATACCTCTAATGTGGTATTATATGCCCAAAGGACGTTGTGGTTCATTCAGATAAAGCTTTGTAAACTGAAGTGGTACTGTTATTTCTTTTTTTTTTTTTTTTTAAAGAAACTTTCTCCTGGCAACCTTACCCAACAAGCCAGACCTTTTCAGTCTTTTTCTGATTGTCTTGTCATGAACTTTAATCTTTAACCTGCTAACTGAGGCTGGTAGAGTCTTAGATGTTCTTGAGGTTTTGCAGTTTCCCTGAGCATTGCACAGTTTGACCACAGGGTGAAGTTCCTTGAACTTCCACTCCTCGGAAGATCAATGGCTGCCTTCATTGTGTTCTACTTGTAAATATTATTTTGCTCTGTAGACTGATGAACTAAAATGTATTTGGAAATTACCTTCAACCCTGGATGGATAGCAACAGTTTCTTCTAAATGGGCACTGCTAATGTCTTTGCTCCTTGGCATTGTATTAACATGGCCATATGATCCAAACCAGCAAACTAACATAACTGCCTTTTATAGAAGTTGTCACCCTGATGAAGATCAGCTAATCAATACTTTTGATCAGCAGCACCTGACGGCTACTTTCCCTCATCTTATGATAGCAGTGAGAGTAAACTTAGATTTCCACAAACAACTTATTTGTTGTTTTTGTTTTTATGTCGTGAAATGTAAAACGTTAAACTTGAAAGAGGATAGACCTTATTATTCCATGACTATTAGGAACTATACTATTATTCATTGGACCCAATCTAATTTGACTTGTCTGCATGGGTTTTTCAGCTTTTTGGAGTACATCATCTGTAACCTTACGGCATACTATGAGTATCAGAAGCACTCCGTGGGGCCCCTCGGCACGCCATCCCTTCAGGGGGACAGCGTTGTGGAAACAGCCCCAGACCAGGAACAGAGCAGCGAAGGTCACGGAGAGTCACAGCACAACTGGAAAAGAGGAGACTTCCAGGGCAGTCTCCACTATCATGCCTATTTTGGAGGCCAGCAAGATGAGGAAGTGGGTTTTGGAGCGACCCTCAAGAACCCTGAGGAGGACAACAGTCAAGATTTTGACAGTCGTTATGATTATGTGGTATGCGAAGAAGGAGAGGAGGTGACATGTTCACCAGTCCCTGATGAGTTCAATCCCTGTGAGGACATAATGGGCTTTGGTTTCCTACGGGTGTCTGTGTGGTTTGTGAGTTTGTTGGCGGTTCTTGGAAACATGGTGGTGCTCCTGATACTGCTCACCAGTCACTACAAGCTCTCCGTCTCACGCTTCCTCATGTGCCATCTGGCCTTCGCAGACCTGTGCATGGGGATTTACCTGCTGCTCATCGCCTCTGTGGACCTCCACACTCGCTCCGAGTACTTCAACCACGCCATAGACTGGCAGACAGGACCTGGGTGTGGACTCGCTGGGTTTTTCACTGTCTTTGCCAGCGAGCTGTCTGTTTACACCCTGACAGTGATCACTCTGGAGAGATGGTATGCCATCACCTTTGCCATGCGGCTGGATCGCAAGCTGCGACTCCACCATGCAGCAATCGTCATGTCAGGTGGCTGGATCTTCTGCCTCCTCCTGGCCCTGCTGCCACTAGTTGGAGTGAGCAGTTACCAGAAGGTCAGTATCTGTCTTCCAATGGACACCCAGTCCACAGCGGCGCAGGTCTACATTTTATTGGTGTTGGTTCTGAACATCCTGGCTTTTTTTGTTATCTGTGGTTGCTACTTCAAGATCTACTGCACAGTCCACAACCCTCAATACCGCTCAGGATCCAAAGACGCCAACATTGCCAAGCGCATGGCGATCCTCATCTTCACTGACTTTCTATGCATGGCTCCTATTTCCTTTTACGCCATGTCAGCCGTGCTAGACCAACCCCTTATCACAGTCTCGAACTCTAAGATCCTGTTGGTTCTCTTTTACCCCCTTAATTCTTGTGCCAACCCTTTTCTTTACGCTATCTTCACCAAGGCATTCAGGGGAGACATATTTATCCTCCTCAGTAAGGTTGGCCTGTGTCAGCAACAAGCACAACTGTTCAGAGGCCAGACCGTCTCATCAAAGGGCAGCAGCGGGACTTTCCAAGTCCGTAGAGACAAGATTCGAAAAGGAGGAAGCATCGGCCAAGAAGACGTATCCATTAACCTAAAGAGCTTCACTGGACAAACAATCAACCAGAAGACAATCACTGAGGAGAGCCAAAGCCTGAACATGTAAGACCTGATTCAAGCAGCAAAGCAAGGCAGGTTCAGGGTAAGACAGCAGATGTCTTATATTGTCTGAGGACAAATCTGGATATTTAACAGTAAAGCTCCAGTATTTGGACCAAATTGGTTGGCTTCATAAGTTCATCATACCAATTGTCACTGAACTGTTATACCAGGAGGCCCAAGTTGACGACGACAACCAATGGTGCTGTTGACAAACTTGGTGCTACTGTTAGTCAAAGACCACGAGGAGGGAACAGAGAGCAGACTGAGATGGTTTGGACATGTCCAGAGGAGGGACAGTGGACATATTGGTAGAAGGATGTTAGAAATGCAGCTACCAGAAAAAAATACAAAGAGGCATACGGTATATGGATAAAGTTAGAGAGGCCATGGAAGAGGACAGTGTGAGATGGAGGATGACTCACTGTGGAGATCCCTGAAGAGGGAAAAGCCGAAAGAAAAAGAAGACATAGTAAAGCCAGAACGGTACAAACATTTTTACAGAAAAGAAAAGGTAAAGATGCAATTTCATATAACAATACAACATTTAAAATGTATTACAATTGTAAACTGAGTGCAATTCTAATAATACAAAAACTATAGTAAAATGTCCAACATTTTTCAGTCAGGTCATCTGGACAGTTTCTTTTTTTGTGCTGAAATGGTTCACCTTCGATCCGGAAGGCTTCATCAGTCAAGGAAACACACAACAAAACTGATTCTTCCCCCAACAGCTTACTCCAAGAGGTCCAGATGACCTGACTGAAAAATGTTGGATTGTATACCTGGATTATTGAGCATGGACTTTGTTGTTTTCAACCAGTTTGACACGACTGTCAACAAGGAAGAGGGCCGGCAATGGAGGAGGGGCGTACCAAAGAGACCATCTAATCAAAAGCAGAACTGGTTTGTTCCACTTTGGAGTAAGCTGTTGGGAGAAGAATCAGTTTTGTTGTGTGTTTCCTTGACTGATGAAGCCTTCTGGATCAAAGGCAAAACGTTTCAGCACAAACAAAGAAACCGTCCAGATGACCTGACTGAAAAATTTTAGATTTTATACATGGATTATTGAGCATGGACTTTGTTATAGTAAAATGTGTTAAAGGATTTTTCAGATTTTTTGAACCTGTCGTTGATAACTCTTTGAACCTCAGTTTAAGATAATGAGCCAACAAATACAGTTTAATTCTGAGAGGATTGAGAAGCTAACTGCTAGTCTTACCAAGACCAAACGCAAAGTTGATGCCAGCTTGAAACAACTACAGTTGTTTTGATGGTTTTATGAGAACACTGTTTTATAAACCTTTCACACTGTTGTCAGCTGTGTATTACTTGGTTACTTCAACAAATTGCTTACTGGAAATACTGCACCAGACGTGCTACAGCTAGATGCTGCTGCTATTTGCACTAGCTATTAACCATACCATTTTATGTAAATAACCAAATAATGCAGAATTCCAGGTAATGTGAAGGGTTTTTTTAATTGGTCACAGAAATTGCTATAAAATTTTCGAGATTTGAGTTGTTTTGAAATGGCAGCAATCCATTTTGGTCCTAGCCCCTCTCAGACTAGCCTTTAGCTCATCAAGCCAGTCAGAAATAAACTGTTTGTCTTAACTGAGGCTGTTCAAAGATAGTCTTTTTTCCCTAAACTTTCCACAAAACCTCATTTCAAAATATCTGAACTATAAAGCTCCTCAGCCTGCAGTGGTTTTATGACCTTTCTGAGGCCCATTGATTAGATGTGATTATTGTGTTCTCCAGCCTGCTGGCTCAGGGCCGTTCAACAGTGGAAACTTGATTCAGTTTATGAAAACATCAAAACATACCAGCTCTTTTCCTCACTATACCAATACCTCTGTATGCTACGTAAATATACAACAAAGATGTATGGATGAACGATGGACACTTTATTTTTTCCCTGCTATTTTAACTCTGAGAAGTAAACACGGACAGAGACAGTAGAGTTCAGTGTTGGACTTGGATTGAGTTTTTACAGCACGTGTGGACTGTGGAAAAATATTTTCTGTGACGCGACTGCACCAAACTGCTTATTAACGTAATAAAATATGTGTCTTTTTTAATGCAAAGGATTTGTTTTGGACATTACTAAATACGATATGCTCTACCCTCTCATCTTTTGTGTGACTTAGTTAAATACCTCATGAACGGTATAATGAAACTATGAGAAGGTAAAAATTTGATAGACAGTAAATCAATAACTGTTGAAGTCACCCTAATGGCCGCCATAAATTATCGACAATAGCAAACACAAACATGGCTGTAATGCAGTTAGGTTCACATGTACTGAGACAAAATTTGGAAAATTTGGTGTTGTGATAGCTGAGATTCATCCCCAACACCTACTCCAAGAGCACTAACCCCTCACACAATGATCATGTGATGTTGCAAATATTGCACACTAAAACAGCTCTAACTCCATCATTTGTCAACATGAGGTGATCTTAGTCTAAAACTCTGGCATGTAAGGTGGTGGGTGATACGCAGTCCTTTAATAGTCAGAAGTTTTTCCATCCTTGTACAAATGAGATGCTTTTCTCGTTGCTGGAAAAGCTTGAATCCAAAGTGTTGTGGCTTTAACTGGTTCAACGTTAAACCAGAACGAGTTTAGACACCCTCTGCCAGTGGAAGCTTAACATCTGGTTAGCTTTTCATCTGCCACTTTATTTTTTTCTAAAACAAATTATTGCAAGTCTTTTATTTGTTTATTTTGCCTTAAATATTTTGGGCATGCATCCTGCCCAGTTTGTATGGAAAATACCCCCATTCCCAAAACGACAAGGGATTTGCCTAAACCCTGAAAACTCAGAGGAACTCTGGTTTTGAAGTTGAAGTGGGGGTGGGGGGTGGGGGAGTGTATTAAAAATGCCATCTGCTCGCTGTGTTCCAGACCTGACTCGTGCTGTAAGTGGACACAGTGTTCAGTTTGCCACAACATGGTGCGCATCTCTCCCAGTCGCCGATTAACAACAATCCAGCCGGGGGCCCTTCAAAGGTAAAGCGCTTTGAGCTGGAGCATGTTGTGCCTGGATGCATTTGTAAGGATCTCCTCCTCTGCTGCTCCTTAACGTCAGCTCACAATCTGATCGAACATTCACGAGGAAACTCCAAGTGACTGCAGGGTGGCGTGCACCTTTGGGCGAGTAAATGTGTTTTGTCCGACAGTATTATCATGAAAGTGTGCAGACCTAATGAAACTTAAAGCTGATTTATTTGGACTTTCTTCTTCTTCTATCTGGTTCTCAGGCCTCGCCAATCGTTCCTCCCGTATTACAAATAAACCCACATGTGAAACTTTCCTCAGATAAGAAGGGCAGGGGCCACCAGTGCACCTCAATCACAACAGATCAAGTTGCTGAACACAAATACGGTGGGAAAAGAGTCAAGAAAAGGGCTGTTCACTGGAACACAATGGCCTCCATCACTCAGAGAAGCTGCAGTTTGGTTCATTTATGGCATCATTCCTTATGTTATTCTGTCGACTCTTCAAGAGTCTAGTTCTTCAGGCTCACAGGAAAGCTCTTGACTGACGACTGAAGTGAAGCCAAGAGTTTTAGGCAGGTGAAACACTCGTACCTCTAAGTGGATTCACTCATCTCAGAGGTTTATAGTCGACAACTCACCTCTTAATGTTCATCTTTACCAAAAACTGTCTCAAGTTCACAAAAGTGCAAACTAAATTTATTTGTGTTCATAGTTCTTCTGAAACAATGGAACTTGCGTTCACAAACTGAATTACACAACAAAATGAATTAGCTCATGTTTAATTTTTCCTAACATAAAGTCTTCCAAAATAAAAGTTGTTCATTCTTGTCATATATGATTCTTAATAAAGCTGCTCCCATTTACATGTTTTTATGATCTTTAGAAGACTAAATCAGTCTGTAAGTGTAATTGAACAGCAACCTACTACAACTATATTTCAGAGTACTGTAGTGTTGGTGTTCTTCATGCGGACATATATTAAAGTTAGACACAGGAACTGAAAGACGTTAAAGCCACAAAGGAAAAGAACTATAGTGGCTTATTACAGAAAAAAACAAATGTAATCTTGCCCAGCTATGTAAACAAATGGCACATTTTCCAGGCTAAAACCTAATAATACACTTCAGATTTAAAAAAAAAATATATATATATGTTAGTATTTTTGTTGATTTATATAATTCCTACCTTGACTCTGTAGGTTTAAATATACAAAGTATATATTCAAGGTTCAAAGTTATTTATTATCATTTGCATCACATGTGGTACATGAGGTGGAACGAAATTATGTACTCGAGGTCCCAGTTTTACCCCACAATAGCAAAAATATAAAGTATAAAAAGAAACAGCACAGTAGTCCCTCGCTACTTCGCTGTTCGTTTATCGCAGACACACTCTATTGCGGTTTTTCACAATAAGATTGTGCATGACACACAATTGGCCGATTGATAGATGAGCCACATGATCGGCATGGAATTTTATTTTTAACATAAATGATTTAGCACCTGCTGCACCTTTGTGCAGTAGAGTTGCACTCGGGTCCAAATAATCCGAACCGACCCGGCCCCAGCCCTCAGCCATCGTCTCCGAACCCCACCCGATCCGACGCATTAACAGTAATTACAGGTCCGAACCCATTCATCCATCCATTATCTTTTACCCGCTTCTTCCATTTTAGGTCACGAGGGTCGCCGGTGCCCTTGTCCTGCAATCACTGAGCGAGGGGCGGGGTACACCCTGGACGGGTCTCCAGTCCATCACAGGGACACATAGAGACAAACGAGACAAACAACCATTCACTCTCTCACTCACACCTGGGGACAATTTAGAGTTACCAATCAGACTAACATGCATGTTTTTGGTCTGTGGGAGGAAACCAAAGTACCCAGAGAAAACCCACGCATGCACGGAGAGAACATGCAAACTCCACCCAGAAAGGCCTCGGACGGGGATTTTAACTGGGGACCTGCTCGCTCCCCCGCAATAAATTAGGGACTACTGTAT